AGATTAGGGTCTGCTGTTCATTTTCCAAGTTCTATCCTGGGTTACTATCTGGGAATCCCTTTGGCCACCCTGGCCAAGAACTCAAAAGAAGGTATTGCCTGTCTGGCATTGCTGCTTATTATGTAGCCTTTAGCTATACATATAGACTCTTATGAAATTATATTGGCCCCTTTAATCTTTGGTTATACTTTCCTTTTGGGTGTTTAAGGCCATACAGTTTTTTACTCTTTCTTTTAACATTGTGTTTGTGACTGTCTTTCTTCTCCCTCTGTGTGTATGATTCCTTTAGTTATAGACTGTAGTGCAAGCTCAGCACTTACTTTATGTGTATCTTGGAAGGTCTTCATTTCTTCATCAGTTTTAAAAGATAACTCTGCTGTGTATAGTGATCTTAGTTGGCAAGGCTGTTTACTCAAAGGTTTTGAAATGCATCACTCCATGTTTTCATTGGCGGAGTTTCTGCTGAGAAGTATGTTGTTATTGAGATGAGTTTGCCTTTATGAGTTGTCATTTTTCTTCTGTAGCTTTATTTTTTAATGTGTATGAGTATTTTGCCAGCATGTATGTAAGTATAACGCCCACACAGACCAGAAGAGGGAATTGGATTCCCTGGAACTGGAGTTAAAGATAGTTGTTAGCCGCCATGTAGGAGCTGGGAACTGAACCTGGGTCTTCTGCCAGAGCAGGTAATGCTCTTAACCACTGAACGATCTCTCCAGGCCCCTCCTATAGCTTTTAATATTGTTTCTTGCTCTGTAGTCTTAGTGTTTAAACTATAATACGTTGTTGAGTGTTCTTTTCTGGTTTTGTTTATTCAGGGTTTTAAATTCCTCTTGTGCTTGAATGTCTGTTTCTCTATATTTGGGGAAATTCATGGTACACTTTTATTGAATTGTTTAGTTTGGTTTTCAACTCTTTTTTCTACTTCATGGGTTCTTAGGTTTGGTCTCTTGATTATGTCCCAGAGTTCTTGAAAGTGTGGCCCTGCTTATTTTGTTTTGTTTCATTTTTGCTTTATTTTCCCTGTTTTTATTAATGTTCTGATGCATTATTTCCTTGACTTTTCTTCTGCTTGATCTAGTCTACCAGTGATGCTTTCCACTTTACTTTTTTATTGATTATTTGTTGAGTTTTTGGTTTCCAGCCCTTCTGTTTATTTTTGTTGTTGCTTTTATTTTTGTTTGTGTTTAGACAGGGTCGCTCTGTAGCCCAGCTGGCCTGAAACTCACTATGTAGGTTGGCGTCACTCTCACAGAGATTCACCTGCTTCTGCCTCCTGAGTGCTAGAATTAAAGGTTGGGCCACCACACCCAGCCTGTTTATTGTTTTTGTCAAAAATCTTAATTTCCTTAATGAGTTTCTTATACACATTGCTGAATTTCTTATCTAGGTCCTGAATTGATTTCTTACTTCATCTGCCTATTTGTATCCTCTTTGAAGTCACTGGTTTTTTATATCATCAGACTCTGAAATTCTTTTTCCACCATCTCAATTAACCATTTTGTTGTCTTTGAATCTGATTATTGAGGTGGTTATGATCTTTTTGCAGAGGAAACTTGCCTTTCTTTTTCATGTTTCTGTGTTGTGATTTATGCATCTCGTGGTATGGGTATTGTTTCCAGTTTTATGTCATATCTTCTCAGTGAGCAGTCATCTACTGAGTGCTAAGTCCCCAGTACTACTCAAGAGGAAAAAGACTGCCATAACAGCAACACCACCAAACCAAACATAATGTATAAATACACTTAAAATCCAGTAACGTCAACTACTACATCACAAGTAACCATGTATTAGCTACTTTTCTTTGCTGTGATAAACACCATGACCAAGGCAACTTATAGAAGGAAGAGTTTATTTGGCTTATGGTGCCAGAGGGTAAGAGTCCATCATGGCTGGGGAGGCATGGCAGGAGGCAGCTGGAGCAGAAAACTGAGCACTCACATCTTCAAGCAGGCACAGGAAGCAGAGAAGGAAACTGGAAGTGGGGCAAGGCTACAAGCTCTCAAAGCCCACCCTATGGACTTGCTTCTTCCAACAAGGCCACACCTCCTAAAGGTCCCATGACCATTCCCAAACAGGACCACAAGCTTAGCAAGTGTTCAAAATACTTGAGCCTACTGGGTCACTTCTCAATCAAACCACCCCAAACCGTAAAAAAGAAAATGGAAAAAATAACATAGAATAAGGTATGAAATTAAAAACTAATTAGGGTAAAAGTAAATGTAATCAATAAATGAAATAAAGGAATTGAGCAGGAATAGAAAATAAAAAAGAAACCATGTTGCATAAAAGAAAAAAGAAAGGAGAAGAATGTTGGCAAAAGAGGGAGAATTGAGCAAGAGGTGAAAAAAAATCTCATTGCATAATAAAAATACACTAAAATTAGATAAACATGAAATTAGTAAAAATAAAAAGGCTTTAAAAATAAAGGAAAAATAATACAATTGAAAAAGAAAGCACAAAGGGTAACTTTTTTTTTTTAATGGCAAAGTATTAGAGTAGCTTCTTTCTGCTTCTTCCCATATTGGAGTCTGCTGGGGGGGGGGGTGTTGGTCAGTTGAAGTTGGGGAATACT